GCTACCCGATAATAGTGGTCGGAGACAAGCTCTCAACCACTATCAGGACGCAACAGGACGAGGAGGAACGATTACGAGTGATCAGGCAAGTGTTGAAAACTGAACCGTACGAAGACTACTTCTGTGAGAACGGGATTCTAATGAAAAAGATCAGTGGCAAAAACGTCATAGTGGTACCGAGAAGTATGAAATGCGACATTATCAGTAGAGCCCACGATAACGGGCACTTCGCCAGGAAGAAATGATGGAAAGCATCGAGGAGGACTATTATATCCCGAAATTGAAAGAAAAACTTGACAAATTTGTCAGTTGTTGCGTGCCATGCATTCTGGCGGAAGCGAAGAAAGGCAAGAAAGAAGGCCGACTCATGCCGATTCCCATAGGTGATGTTCCGCTGTCCACTTACCACATCGATCACCTCGGGCCGATTACAAGAACCACAAAGATGTACAAACATCTGTTGGTCGTGGTCGACGGATTTTCTAAGTTCGTCTGGATTTCTCCCACGAAAACTACAACTGCCAAGGAAGTTATAGACCGATTGAAGACTCAACAGAAGACTTTCGGTAATCCCGAGATGATAGTCAGCGATCGGGGAGCAATGTTCACATTGGCAGAGTTCAAGAATTACTGTACAGAAGAAAATATAAAGCACATCGCCATTACCACGGGAGTACCATGGGGTAAGGGACAAGTGCAACGAATCAATCGAATTATTATTCCGGTTCTTACGAAATTGTCTAGCGATTACCTTGATAACTGGTATCGCCACAACGATCGGGTGCAGGGCGCGATCAATAGCACCTACCAACGTAGCGTTGGAATTACTCCATTTTAAATAGTGTTCGACATGAAGATGCACCGCAAGGGAAACTTATCACTAATCGAGCAAGAACTCGTCAAATTATTCGACGCAGAACGAGAGGACCTATGGAATCTGGCTAAAGCTAACATTTCCAAAATCCAGACGGAAAACGAGAAAACTTATGACAAAAGCAGCAAATAAACCAACGAATATCGTGAAGGTGACATTGTTGTCATAAAGCGAACCCAGTTGAACCCCGGATTGAAGATCAAACAGAAGTATCTTGGACCCTATAGAGTCACACGGTCCAAGGGTCAGAATCGTTATGACATGATTCGAGAAGGAGACGGAGGAGGACCCACAATAACAACGTCATCAGCAGACTTCATGACACCGAAGACCGAAGACAAATAGGAATAGTCGAGTGTGAGACTGGGCCCCTTGGTTGGTTCGCCGGCCCGACACCGGAGCGCTGTGTGCAGTGGTAGTGGGTGGGAGAGCGGGAAAAGGGGTCATTTGTGCAAAGCCCACGGGAAAAGCAACATCGGTTGTTAATAGTTCGCCCTTTTACTAATAAAGATTCATTCGTTTTGTTCACCTCTTGATATTTTATTCATAATCCTACATATATTTGAAGGTCAAATTACAAAATAATGAATAGCACGAAAATCGTCCAAGAATTTCGTCCCTAGAACGTACTCCTGTAAGAGACTTAGTCTATGGTCTAGTAATTCCTGTAAGGATAAAATTCCAAAAGACTAACATGATTAATCGAGGATTCTAACCGATTCGCACCTTAACTTTGAAAGAATAACCCTAAAGTTCGTACCTCTGCTAGTATGATAAGTGGAACAGGACTATAAATGAAATAATGACCCTTGACTAACCAAAATACCAGCATTTCGAAACTTTCCCGTAATTTCGCAGGACTTGGAGCGAGTTGGGTCAAGAGACTCGGTCGAGTCTCGCGCCAGGTACAGGCAACCCACCGTACAGGGCACGGCCCACCGAGAGTCTTTACTCGAAGCATCTCTTGTACCTGTGTTTCGACTAAAATATCTTATGAACAGCTGTATGTGAGAAAAGCTTATCGATACATTCACTCTAGAAATCAAGGGTTCTGAATTGATTGCCACCAAATTCAATACGATTAGTGTACGAGATCATGACGTATTCACATGGCGAGCGAGATGATTTTATTTCAGGTCCGTCGTCGTCGTCGTCGTCGTCGTCGTCGTCGTCGTCGTCGTCGTCGTCGTCGTCGTCGTCGTCGTCGTCGTCGTCGTCGTCGTCGTCGTCGTCGTCGTCGTCGTCGTCGTCGTCGTCGTCGTCGTCGTCGTCGTCGTCGTCGTCGTCGTCGTCGTCGTCGTCGTCGTCGTCGTCGTCGTCGTCGTCGTCGTCGTCGTCGTCGTCGTCGTCGTCGCACGTCCATCGCCTTTTTTACACGACAGATGGCGCTGACTGCTTGGCCTTCTTTACCTATTTGTACTCTGAATGGTGTTGGTAATTTACAAATACACAACACAATCAAATACGCTTTATACTTGAAGCTACCGTTCACATTGAATTTCCAGTTAATATAAGGCCGCTTTCACAATAATACAGAATTATTAAGGCTTTTATGTGGAGCGCGTGTGGATGAGTGTATGCATGTGTGTGCTTCAGCATAGTTCCTTTTATTCTAGGTGACAGTTTTTAGAGATACAGGATGTCCAGGTGTTCCTCTCCGTAGTTTCCTGTATCTAGGTGGCGGACGTGGAAGTCCAGGGTGTTCAGATTGTGACAAGAGTCCCTAAAAAAACAAGGGGTATCCGAGCGAGCACTAGTTCGCTGCCGCGCCACTAGGTGACCAAGGCAACTCGCATGAAAAAACGGAGAACCGGGTAAATAATTAATCCGTCGATGTTGCGGTTGTCGTCGTCGTCATCGAGATATATACTTTTGTATCCTGCATCTTATATCCAGCTTCTCTCATGCGAGAGAGAAGCATTTTTGCGACCATACCATCCGTTGAGGACTCTGTGGTCTAGTTTCATTTCAGCAACTCAGTCCGAGCATTGAATCCAGTAGCGCAGCGTTTAGCTACCCTGGGCAAATTAGCAGAGAGTGATCTCTCTCGGATTACCCGTAGCCGAAAATGTTGGCTTCCACAGTCTCAAGTCAGGCATCATCCGTAGCTGGGAAGTGTTGGCTTTCACAGCCTCAAGTCATTCCTCCGACATTTCTAATTACACCGATTGTAACAGAACCGATAGCTGATACCGAAAAGAGACTCAAATTAATAATATGCTCTGTATAATAAACCAAGAAAAGTTTACCCCCGAAAGAACGTTTTATTATTGCAGTAACACAACTATCCCTTCACCGTTCCGAACCCTGGTTCATTCGAAGAGCTAAGTGGCAAAAATCGTCATTCGAGAGGACTGGTACTTCACCAGTCTTGACAGTTAAAAATAATATATGTTACAAGATGTTCCGCTCCGTAGTTTCTTGTATCTAGATGTTAGATGAGGAAGTCGAGGGTGTCCAGGTGTTCCGCTCTGTAGTTTATTGTATCTAGGTGTCGGACGTAGAAGTTCAGAGTGTCCAGAAAAGTGTGCAACGAGCGACGCTTTGGCGCTTCGCTCAAACAATCCTCGCGTATCCTCTCTGCTGTTCGCACGGCCTGAGGTACGTAAATAATCCAGCACACTTTCCTCTCTTACGTTTATCACACGGTTTCAAGAAGCTGGACACCAGTAACGACGCTTATATGTATTCAAGATTACATTTTCTTCAAAGATTTGTATACATCTCTATGCATTTCTAAAAAAGGGACTTACAAATTAAATTTATATGGCATTAAACATTTTCGACAACGCAATATATTTTTTTGATTAGCGACATCATAATGCATGTACACTTTATATCTTTGAAAATATAAATTTCAGTGTTTAGAGCTTCTATGTCCCGATGAGCAACAAAAATTGTGATATCTCCCAAAAAAAAACACTTACGTGTAAAAAACTACGCCAAGTACAGGAGTGCTGTGTATTCCTCTAATAAAAAGTATTGATATCAGATTATTGAGGCCAAGTACATAAGTCACTACATGTTTGCCTACTATATAATCTAGCACTGGTCCATCATTTTAATTGTATTTTCAAAATTTCCTAGAATGTTTTCGCTGCTCTTTTACATCACTACCGCTTCCCGTAGTTGATTATGATTTAATGGTCATTTAATAATTAATCAAACTTTAGGTGATTCCTTATCGATTACTACTTCGCGGGTCCGTGCCAGGAATTCCACAGCATACTTTGAACATACTAATAGTATCCTAAAACTATATGTTTGTTATTAAGCTTTTACCGTAATTATTTTTGACGAGTTATTGTTAATAAGCTCTATATAAAAAGTTAACATTGGTTTTGAGTTTGATAACTGGCATAATGAACGCAAATTTATGTCAAGAAATGCACGGACCCGCTAAGTAGTACTCGACAAGGAATCACCTAAAATTTTAATAATTATTTAATGACCATTAAATCATAATCAACTACGGGAAGCAGTAGTAATCTAAAAGAGTAGTGAAAACGTTATAGGGAATTTTGAAAATACAATTAAAATGATGCGCTAGTGCTAGATCATATAATAGACAAACATGTAGTGACTTACGTACTTGGCCTCAATAATCTGATATCAATACTTTTTATTAGAGGAATACACAGCACTCCTGTACTTAGCGTAGTTTTTTACACGTAAGTGTTTTTTTGGGGGATGTAATTGACTGAGAATGGTACTTGAGAAATGAGATACAAACCGGAAATAGTAAAGTCCTCACAAACGAGAGCTGAAGTGAACAAAAAAGTATATATGTATGTATGGTGCCTATAGGTATGTTATAACGGAGTGCCCGGCTCATCACCGGTATAAATGATTTATCCACAGAACCGCCAGGGAGCGATAGAGGGCAAGGAATTTCCGAAAAATTCGGAGTTCTGATCGGGAATCTAATCCGATACCTTCGGACTGCCAAGTCGGGCACTTACCACTGTGCCACCGAACTCACTGTCCGACCTGATAAATCCTATTTATTTTTTTTTCGGTCATTTCTAGGTGGAAATCCCCTCCAGCTCTGTAACGCCAGGTTACAATGTATATAAATATACAACATTCTATCAAGTTCCATGTAGAGCAAATGAAAGTCGAATACCTGGCTCTGTAAGTCTGTCTTGGCGATCCTGTTGAAGATGAATCCGGGCAACTGATTCTTCTCAAGCGTCGCGACGCCTCTCTAGCTACTCTTTGAATAGCATCAAGCATCACCATCCTATCTTCATGTGGCAAGATTGCGGCAACTTCCTGTAATATCTATAAAAGTAGTGAAATGAAAATAAAAATGTGTAGCGATCCTAAAAAGAATAAATCTCCCAAAAAAAAACACTTAGTGTAAAAATCTACGCTAAGTACAGGAGTGCTGCGAATTCCTCTAACGAAAAGTATGGAAATCATATTGTTAAGGCCAAGTACATAAATCACCACATGTTTGTCTATTATATGATCTAGCACTAGCGCATCATTTTAATTGTATTTTCAAAATTACCTATAACGTTTTCACTACTCTTTTACATTACTTCCGCTTCCCGTAGTTGATTATGATTTAATGGTTATTTAATAATTAATAAAACTTTAGCTGATTCCTTATCGAGTACTACTTGGCGGGTCCATGCCAGGAATTCCAAAGTACTTACTTTGAACGTACTAATAGTATCCTAAAACTATATGTTTGTTATTAAGCTTTTACCGTGATTATTTTTGAGTTATTGTTAATAAGCTGTATATAGAAAGTTGACATTGGTTTTGAGTTTGATGACTAGCATAATGAACGCAAATTTCTGTCAAGAAATGCACGAACCCGCCAAGTAGTACTCGATAAGGAATCATCTAAAGTTTTATTAATTATTAAATGACCATTAAATCATAATCAACTATGGGAAGCAGTAGTAATGTAAAAGAGTAGTGAAAACGTTATAAGAAATTTTGAAAATACAATTACACTGATGGGCCTGTGCTAGATCATATAATAGGCAAATATGTAGTGACTTATGTATTTGGCCTCCATAATCTGATATCAATACTTTTTATTAGAGGAATACACAGCACTCCTGTACTTGACGTAGTTTTTTACACGTAAGTGTTTTTTGGGGGATTATTTATTACGTCACAAACTTCCGGAATTTAAACCTCGCATGTTTCGATCACGAAACGCAGTAGCGTCCCTCGGGAAAATCACAAGAATCACCGGCTACACAATTCCAGAATTCACCTTAGTATTTTTAGGAGAATTATTATAATTAATAATAATGTTAGTGAAATTATAGCCATTATTACAGTTACGCGAAGGATAGTGGGTAGTCAGGAGCACCCGATGCCTTCTCCCCGCGGCCGACAACTCTTGAATCGAATCGGGGGTCGGCCAAGTAGAAGACACCCCCATGGACCATCCTGTATCTTCGGCCTGAGAAAAATTCGCGTTTCGCCAGAAGAAAAAGATGTTGTGTCTTATTCATTTCCATTCTGTATTCTCTATTGTATCATTGACTGTATCCTAATGTCTCGGTGACTCTGGAGACTATATCAAGGAATCAGTGTTTCACACTTTTTGTGAGTTCATGTATTGTTAATTATCGTCAATTTTGTTGTATGTTTCATAATTATCTGTTTCGTGCCTATTTTAAGTAATTCTGTAATTTCGATTACAGAGAAATTGTTTGTTATCTGCCGCTCAGTTTCACCTGGACCAGTAACGCGTGCCGACACATTTCATACGAATCCTTTCGCTTGTTAAATCTATCTCCTACACTTCTGCGCTACAAGCAAAATTAACAGGCTAAAGGCCATTCTACAATGCAATATAATAACACGTAAGAAATAAGCAATGAGATCTTCGATTGTACCTAATTTATCTAAATTACCTAATTCCATTGGATCCTCCTATCAAGAAGGAGAAAATCGTTTTTAAAACCGAGCGTTTACTAAGTCTCTACGTTTATGGTGACGTCTTGGACATAGCAACGATACGGAAGCGATTGCTAGGGTCGTTAAGGATTTCACGAAGCACGAAATGTCATTGTCAAATGTCATTACCTGTCACCTGTCATTATCTCTGTCAATATATTGAGACAGGCTTCCTTCTTCTTTTCTAAATTGACACGTTTATTAAGCCTTCACCTAGGGCGGCCTGGGTTAGTGGCTGCTAGGGCTCTAAAATAATAACCTTTTTACGTTGAGCGCCAATTGGTTTATGGGCAAACCAATAAATCCTACCACAAAATGTTCGAAGTGCAACGGCTAGTCAATTAGAGAAGAGGTTCGAATTGGGTGACCCGAGGAAATTGCAAGAATAATAGCATTTGATCAATTATAAATTTACTTACAGTTTATTTTCCTTATTCCAATTTAATTAGTATGTAGTCCTTGCATAGTGAATTGGTCAACGGTTATCCTCTGGTACAATATGTCTTTGTCGCGTTTGTATATCTAGAACGATCAATCCCACGAGTTTCCTTTTGTCTCTCTCCAGCTCTTTCCTATGAGCCC